TGAACATAGCTTCCGTCCTTGTTTCAAACAAAGAAAACTTGTGAGTTTAAACATGGTGGTTGGTTTGTGGCCTTGACTTTGCGGCGATTGCTCCTTCACTTGCCATGATAACTTTGATTTCACCTTGAAAGACATTGCTTGCTTATTGACTAACCAATTTCTCTGTCACCCTTATCACAAAAATACCTTTGATCCATTCACCAAACATCCTCTATCTGTTGCATTTCTCATGACCTGACATTTACCAAACCTTTGCATTTCACATAAATCCCAAAGCATGTTGATTGTTACCAACTCAGTGTGCATATTGTTCTTTCCTCACTTATGTTGCTTTGATGTGCTAGCCAGACTTTGCTTTATGCAAATGGAAAGTTGGTGGCAAATTTTGAAGTCATTTCTCACTTGTTCTGACCAAACAGACTCAGGAAGAAGAAGTAAACAAGACAAAATGAACAAAGTAAAGGATAATGGAAAGATATGATTCCTCACAAGAAAACTACCAAGTAGAAACTTATCAGATGTGGATACCAACTCTAATGATCATGACATGCACCTTTGGATTAAGTGGCCTAGTCTGTCAAGTAAATCTAATGCTCAACTCTTGTTGTACCTTTTTGCCATGAAACTGGGCTTCAATGCTCTGATTATCCTATCTGATTCACGATCCTTATTCGACTTGTAGTGCCTGAAGGGTTTTCACCATCAAGCCTCTCTCATTTTGTTCTTTCTCTCAACTTACCGTCGCCTTATGGTATCTGTGAAGGTTTTCAATGATAAGACTCTCTCATCTTTGTTTTCCTTGTGTAGAACGGAGTGTTGCCCCTGATGTGAATCATACCTCTAACTCGCTTGCCTTGGCACTACTCAAAGATTGATCCGAAGGTCTTTCTTTGGACTGTAATGTGGGCTTTTGGATGAGGTTAGAAAGAAGGGATATCAAAAGGCTCAAAACAACTTGAATGGGTTCAAAATTACAACTCTTGGAATCAGATTTCTTACAACAATCACAACTTTCTGCCCCAGTTTCTTTGCTTGGGGACTTTTGAATTTTTATTTTGATGGGACCTAACCGTGAGGCTGCCTATGTATCCTTCAAAAGAATTAGGTCGAACGTAGTTCATGACATAGGAATTGCTTCGTTTTTGTATTTTTCTCTCTCTTTTTTTCTTTTTCTCTTTTTCCTTTTCTTTTATTTTCTTTACTCTTTTTCCATTTTTCTTTCTCTTTTTCTCTTCTTCTTTTTTCTCTCCCTTTTTTCTGTATCATATTTCTAAACTCTACTTCTGATTCCAAAAGAGGGATATGAAAGAAAATAAATAAGGCTCAAAGGGGTGACAAAGGATAAAGTATTTAGATAGCAGAATAAAATGCCTTCATCATTCCAATCTTCAAAGCATGCCAAATACAAACAACACAATTAAACAAACCAAAGAAATCATACGTAATATCTTTTGACTGTATCAGAACCGATATCCATATCCACACATTTGCCTTCTATATTTGTTAAATACAAAGCACCATTGGAAAACACTCTCGTTACCACGAACGACCCCTGCCAATTTGGGGCAAACTTGCCTTTAGCTTCAACCCGATACGGCATGATGCATTTCAATAAGGTTTCTTTATGTTCTATCTGCCCCAATTTCACACGATTCGGGCTTGAAGTGATCTCAAAATTCCTTTACTTATTTCCCTCAAATGTCCCTATCATCTTCAAAATTATTTCATTGCTTCATGATTAAACTAACTTTAAGACCAAGCTTAGAATTATGCGTGCATGTCATATCACTAGAGCCAGTCATAAAGGAACTATAAAAAGAAAAGAGAATTAAACAAAAAATGACTAGAAATAACAGAAAACAGAAAATTACATTAGACAGATGGTGAAAGAGTTTGAATAACAAAACAAGTAAAATAAACTGGGGTTACAACCCTGGAACAAACCTAGACAAACGAGTTACTACGAAAAAAACAAACTAGGCAAAATAAAAGGATAGAAGGGTTTGAATCACAAGACAACATCCGGATTACAACCCTAAAAATAACCCGGACAACAGAAATGACAACAAAATAAACCACCAAGACTCCTCTCCAGCTAGCCAAGAGATGGAGCGTCTTTTCAATTACCAAGCACGGCATCTTAGCCACTGGGTTCCACATCAACATTTCCAAAACCATTAACAACTTCAATATCATTAACTTCAGTCAGCAAGTTCCCCAAGAGGATTCGCATGCTCCCTGTCATTGTTATTGATCACAATTACCCCTTCTTGAATCATTCTTTCTATTTACCTTTTCAAAGAACGACAATCTTCAATGCTATGTCCTTGGACATTAGAGTGGTACATGCATCGTACAGTAGGATCAAAGCCTTTTGCATATGGGTCTGGAGTATAGCAGGAGTGGCTCAATTAGGCCAGAATGCTTTAACTTTTCAAACAAGCTTGTGTAGGACTCCCCAATTGGCATGAAACTATTTCTTTGCCTTTGTTCTCTTCCCTGCCCCTGTTTCCTAGGTTTGTTGGGTACTCGAAAATGTTGTGAAGGCAAGAATACATTATGCGGTGCTTGTGCTCGCCATAGGGAGCGACCTGGTGGTTGGACAGATGACCGGATATTGTTTGGAGGATAATACTGAGGTGGATTATATGGAGCTCGGGGATAGGTTTGGGGTTGGAGTTGAAGATGGGTATATTGGTGAGGCGGGCCCTTTGGTCCATGTCGTGACTCTAAAACAACCAAGGCAACATCATCATGTTTCTTCTGACCCAGCAAGCTTCCTGTGTCGTTCTGAATTGCTTGTGTTGTTGCTTTTAAAGCAAAATAGCTCATGATCTTGCTCGACTTCAACCCATCTTCTACCATTTCTCCCATTTTACCACATCATTAAAAGGCCTACCCACAGCTATGATCAAATGCCCAAAGTAAGTAGGCTCTTGAGCTTGGAAAAAGTACTCGGCCATCTCTTTTTCTTCCATCGGAGGATTGACTCTGGCAGCTTGCTCTCTCCATCTGAGCCCGTATTCCCTAAAGTTTTCATTATTCTTCTTTTCCATCTTGGTGAGGGACATGCGATCCAGGACAATTTCTATATTGTACTGAAAGTTCCTGGCAAAGGCCTGAGCCATATCATCCCACGTGTACCACCTGCTAGAATCTTGGCGGGTGTACCACTCCAGAGCTGCCCCACTCAGACTTTGACTGAAATACGCCATCAATAATTTGTCTTTCCCATCGGCGCCTCTCATCTTACTGCAGTAGCCTCTCAAATGGGCCACGGGATCTCCATGTCCGTCATATAAATCAAACTTTGGCATCTTAATCCTATCAGGCAGTTGGACGTCAGGAAACAAGCACAAGTCATTGTAAGCCATGCTCATCTGGCTCCCTATCCCTTGCATGTTTCTTAAAGACTGCTCTAAGATTTTCACCTTCCTGGATATCTCATCTTGCTCCAACGTCTTAGCAGGCTTTTCTGTTTCACCGGGAGGCTCAAAATAAGGAATGTGAGAATATGGATCCGAGACTTTGAAAGTTGGTTCTGGAGCACAGTGTTGGGCATCGAGGACTTTGAACACAGTCTCGTTAGAGGATCGAGGAAAAATAGCTGGTGGAGGAACTGTAAGAGCATGAGTGGCCAAAGGAGCGGGATATAAGGTGGTTTTGGCGGGTAGAGTGTGAAAAGGTTGTGGGAAGATATCAGCAGCAGTAGGAATCTGGATTTGTGATAGTGGTGGGATAGTTATAGGGTTTTCAGTGTAGTTAGTGGGGAATGAAGGTGGAGGATGCCCCCTGATCCAAGACTGATACATTCTTGCCATCTGTTGTTTCACCTTTTGGACCTCCTCTTTCAATTCAGACTCCGACTCCACAAACTCCCTTGACGGGTCAACAACTCTTGTGCTCAAGTTTTTGCTAGTCATGGCTACCTTGCCCTTTGACCTTGTGTTGTATGGACGAGTTACCTTAAGAACCACAAACCAACCACCCTTCTGCTATAATCGGGAGAACAAAGAGGAACAAAATAAAGTCATCATATTAGCGTTAGGGCATTTAACAGCTAAAAATATCACATTTCGTGCAATGCACCTAGCAACAATTAACGGTTCAATAATGACTTCGAGGGTCACAAGGTCACTTGGCATCATCCCAATTTGTCCATTTGAATCTTCTCTTTTCTTTGCTTTTCTAGCACTTGTTTGCTCATTTTCCCTCCTCTTTTTTTTCTAATTATCACTCTTTTCTTTCCTCTCATTTCTCACGCCCCATTTTTTCACCTCTTTTTTTCTTCTTTTTTTCCTTATTTTTTTCCTTTTTTCCTTTTTTTCTTTTATAATAAAAAAATGATTCGATCGAACCCTATGTAGGTTGCCTACGTATCATGACGCCGCGTGAATCAGATCTTTGCGTAGTTCTGGAAGATCGGGAATAAAGTAAACAAACTAACTTTCTCATTTTTTCCTTAACGACTACTATGACGAGATAAGGGAAGTAAAAGAAACAAATCTCTCTCTTTTTTTTTTTGGAATTTTCTAGACTCAATGATCTATAACCCATTCTAAACTCAAGCTTAACGGATTTTTTTTTTTCTTTTTGATACAAATTCTCTATTATGGAAAAATCCTAGAAGAGAAAAATATTTTTTGACTTTTTTTTAAGAAGGAAATTATGTTGTTTTCTTTTTCTTCAATGTACAATGTCCTAAAGTTCTAATGAAAATAAAAGGATTCTTTTTCTCATTTTTCATTAGTTTCCCAAAGAAGAACCTCAAAAGAAAATCTTTTTGGATTTTTGAAATTAATACCTTAAAGAAAACTCTTTAAAGAGGTACTAAAGAAAGTTCTCTCTTTTTTTGAATTTTTAGTCCTAATATACTAAAGGAAATATGAAAGCAAAAATTTTCCATTCGGTGTTCTAGATATTGACTTCCTAAGGAGAAACACCTCAAAAAAAATTTAATTCTAGAATTGATTTTCTAAATAAAACTTCCAAAGGAAATAAAACGCAAAATCTCTTTTTTGGGATTTTTGATTAATAACACAAAATAAGAAATACAATAACAAAAGACTAGGCAAACTTAACCTGACTATTACAAACTCTAACATCACCTAAAAGACTGAATACTACTATATAGGACTAGAAAGTAAAACATGACCAATTGACTCAAAAACATAAAATGGCTCCTCGAGCAGCTCCTGAATGCAATGATCCTGGGGTATCTGTCATGCTCAAACTCCGGTAAGTAGATCCACAACTGTATGAGAAAACTTAAACCAACAGTATGTGAGACAATAACATTCCCTACCAGACACGTGCAAGATATGGTTGTGACCATTTTTCTAAAATTAACCTATGTGGTTAAAAGTGGCTAAAAATGCAAGATTTGGCTAAGACCCCGTGAAGCCAAGAACCTAAGATTTACTAGGAAGACCGGACCCTATGTGGGTTGCCTACATATCACGGCCCGAAAGACGAGAATCAGGTATGCATAGTTCGGGCAGATTAGATACGGGCGAGAATTAAAAAAAACTAATTTAGAGAAAATATGTTTTGTCTCTTTTTTTTCCGAAAAATGATGAAACATGTAAAATCTTTTTGGATTTTCTTTTCCTCTTTTTTTCGATTTTTGATTTTCGGAAAATGATGAAAAAGTGCAAAATCTTTTTGAATTTTTTCATTTTCTTTTTTTTTTGGTTTTTTTTCTTAAAAAAAATGCGACAGAAAACATAACTAGGCCATGCTTGCTTTATTTCACACTTCACCCTCTCTTTTTTCTTTTTTTTTAATTTGCCCTCAACTATTATTGGTCCGCCAAATGACCCTTCTACCCTTGAAGATTGCAACATGTAGCACATAGGATGCATCCGGATGGTCTTTTATTTTTGGGTACACCTGTCCTAGACGGACCCAAACCCCTGTGTTGAGTCCACAAAGTCAATGCACATGATGCAATCAAGCGTTCCTACTAGGGATCCGGCATGAGGATGAGTTATTCTAGGTTCAAAACCTAGGTATGTTATTCTAGACTGTGTACCCGAGCGGACAACTCGAGCCGGGGGGCAACGTACCGGGAACCAAAAGGTCATCCGGCTTTGTAACTTGTCCGAGCCTCTTCCTAATTTAAGGTATGACACTAACAGAAGAGGAATCACGCCAGCGTGCACATCCCCGGAGGTGAGAAGAGAAAGGTTTCGTAGCAGTTTATATACAGTTCAGATAATATCAAAGCGGTAAAAAAAGCAACATTTAGCACATTAGGCTCAAACATGTAATAAAACCAGATAATAAATAAAGCCAAATATAACAATTATCTTAAGCTCGAATTCTTGAACCCTGAACCAGAAGTTCTGGGTTCTTTTCCCCAGCAGAGTCGCCAGAGCTGTCACACCTCCTTTTCCTACACCCCTGAGGGGTATAAGGGAGTTTTTTCTAATTTAAAGTAACAATCGAAACGGGATTATTTATTTATTAAATTCAGAGTCGCCACTTAGGATAATTTTATGGTGTCCCAAGTCACCGGTTCAAATCCCAAAACGAGGAAAAGATTGACTCTGTATTATAGTTCACGAACACAGAAATCCGGGTAAGGAATTCTGTTAACCCGGGAGAAGGTATTAGGCATTCCCGAGTTTCGTATTTCTAGCACGGTCGCTCAATTATTATAATTGGCCTATTTACTTTATTTTAGTACATATTTTAGCCTATGGTGCAATTTTAACTTTATAACCGCTTTTATTTAATTATTTTTAGGAAGGTTTTAACGTTATCTAAAACATGTCTTGAACCACGTCACATAAATGCACCCGCGGTCCATGACACATTTTATCTAACGTTGTTGAGATTTGGATTTGGGTCACATAAATGCAAACCCGAGTTTAGGAAAGTAATTTTTAAATAGCGTGCCAAAAGCAACTATGCTCTTTCACACTAATAACAAGGTTTGCGAGGGCCATGGAAAATTCAACTACTGGCACACCTCAATTTCTGAAGAGTTAAAATTAACTAATTGAGGGTCATATTCACACTATACTTACTACTTCCTTACTATATATATATATATGGAGAAACGATCAATGGAAAGAAATGTTTGCTTGAAGTTTATGACTGAATCAATGCTAAACAAGAAATGACAATATGTCACTGTCCTCTAGCTAGACAACTTGCAATTTATATTTCACGCCTACAGAATGATATTCCACTCACTTTTAACTATCAAAATTTATCCAAAACAGATTTAAACTAAAACAAACGATATGTCAGCAAACCCATTTTTGATACACCAAATACTATTAGGACAATCCATAGCAAAGAAATAAAACATTAAACTTAGATTATCATTAAATTGAAGCAGATAAACTAGCTAATCCAAACAAGAATATTAACCAAGCGATTCATCAAATATGATGAACAGTATTTCTGAACATGACACAAAGGCACAAAGACTAACCAAAGGCACATACCAGCCTGGCGACAGAGCCAGCAATGGAGACTTCGACACGACAAACCTCGAACGGGCTTCGACCAAAAACCAGTAGAAACGATCGTCGATACTCAATCAGAAAACTCGGAACTCGCCGGAAACTTTGATGACAACAACTTACAGAGCTTAAAAAAGAGGGATCAAAATCTTGTGAAGCTTTGAAGAAGCAGAAAGAGTTCAGGCGGGTTTTCTGGGATGGAGAAACAGAGGCGACGACCTGGTGTTTGTAGGGTGGTCGTTTGTGAGGTGAAGCTTCACTGGGGATGGCAGCTTCACAGTGAATGGAGGTCCAGCGACGGTGACTTTTTGTTTGATGTCTCTAATGGCTGAAGAGGAAGATGATACCTGATGGGGGATTCTCATTTTGGCTATTCAACCGCTGGTTTTCTTCAGCTCTTAGGTCCCTAAGTTAGCCATCCATCAGATCTTGTATTATGGGGATGAAGAAGAAGGTCAAATTTTTTTGGAGGGGTCTGTTTTTAAGTTATACGACTGAAGCCCCTTTTTATGGTTCTGTTGATTGTCGTTTATATCAGGAAGAAAATGGGAGTCAGATGGGTCGTGAACTGCTGCTGCTCCCTAGGTTCTAGAGTATAACGNATTGATACCCTTTCAGTTGATTCAGTTCCAATAGTACAGGATTTTCCCGATGTGTTTCCAGTTGACCTTCCAAGCATGCCGCCTGATAGAGATATTGATTTTGGCATTGATCTATTACCGGGCACTCAGCCCATTTCTATCCCTCTATATCGTATGGATCCTCCTGAGTTGAAGGATCAGTTAAAGGAATTGCATGATAAGGGTTTTATTCGGCCCAGCGTATCACCTTGGGGTGCTCCTATTTTGTTTGTGAAGAAAAAGGATGGGTCTATGCGTATGTGTATTGATTATCGTCAGTTGAACAAGGTTACAGTGAAGAACCGTTATCCTTTGCCTCGTATTGATGATCTGTTTGACCAGCTTCACAGCGCACGGGTGTTTTCTAAGATTGATTTCCGCTCAGGTTACCATCAGTTGAAGATTCGCTAGCCCTATATCCTGAAGACTGCTTTCAGGACTCGGTATGGTCATTACGAGTTCCTTGTTATGTCATTTGGGCTGACCAATGCCCCAGCAGCCTTTATGCATTTGATGCACAGTGTGTTCCGGCCGTATCTTGACTCATTCGTCGTTGTTTTTATTGATGATATTCTAGTGTATTCCCGGGGTTGGGAAAATCATGAGCAGCACCTGAGAACTATGCTTCAGACTCTGAGAGAGAAGAAGTTATATGCTAAATTCTCGAAATGTGAGGTTTGGTTGGATTCAGTAGCATTCTTAGGCCACGTGGTATCGAGTGAGGGTATCTAGGTGGATCCGAAGAAGATAGAGGTCGTGCAGAGTTGGCCCAAACCATCCTCAGCAGCAAAGATCCGCATTTTCCTTGGTTTGGGGGGTTACAACCGTCATTTTGTGGAGAGGTTTTCATCGATTGCAGCCCCCATGACCAGGTTGACCTAGAAGGGTGCTCCGTTTCAGTGGGCGGAGGAGTGTGAGGCGAGCTTTCAGAAGCCCAAGGCAGCTTTGACCAAAGCCCCAATTTTGATACCTCCTACAGGTTCGGGGTCTTATACGGTCTATTGTGATTCCTCGAGGGTTGGCCTCAGAGCGGTGTTGATGCAGGACGGTAGGGTGATTACCTACGCGTCCAGATAGTTGAAGATACATAAGAAGAACTACCATGTTCACGACCTTGAGTTAGCTGCCATTGTTCACGCCCTGAAGATTTGGCGCCATTATTTATACGGGGTTCCCTGTGAGATTTATACTAACCATTGGAGCTTGCAGCACTTGTTCAAGCAAAAGGATCTAAATTTGCACCAGAGGAGGTGGTTAGAGTTGCTGAAGGACTATGACATCACTATTTTGTATCACCTAGGCAAGGCCAATGTGGTGGACGATACTTTGAGTCGCCGGGCAGAGAGTTTGGGGAGTTTGGCTTATTTACCAGCATCGGAGAGGCCTATGGCGATGGATGTTCAGGCCTTAGCCAGCCAGTTTGTGAGATTGGATCTTTCGGAGCCCAATCGGGTTCTAGATTGTGTGGTTTCTCGGTCTTCCTTATTTGATCGTATCAGGGAGCGGCAGTATGATAACCCTCATTTGCTTGTCCTCAAGGACAAGGTCCAGCATGGTGATGCAAGAGATGTGACTATTGGTGATGACGGGGTATTGAGGATGCAGGGTCGAGTTTGTGTATCCAATGTTGAGGGGCTTCGGGAGTTGATTCTGGAGGAGGCCCATAGCTCGCGGTATCCCATTCATCCGGGTGCCGCGAAGATGTATCAGGATTTGAGGCAGCACTATTGGTGGAGGCGGATTAAAAAGGATATAGTTGGATTTGTAGCTCGGTGTCTCTACTGTCAGCAGGTGAAGTATGAGCACCAGAGACCGGGTGGGATGCTCCAACAGATAGATATTCCAGAATGGAAGTGGGAGCGGATCACCATGGACTTTGTAGTTGGGCTCCCACGGACTTTGAGAAAGTTTGATGCTGTTTGGGTGATTGTGGATCGGCTGACCAAGTCCGCTCATTTTATTCCTGTGTGCACTACTTATTCCTCGGAGCGGCTGTAGGNTCAGTTCACATCACAGTTTTGGAGAGCTGTTCAACATGAGTTGGGTACTCGGGTGGAGTTGAGTATAGAATTTCACCCTCAGACGGACGGACAATCCGAGCGCACTATTCAGATTCTTAAGTATATGCTCTGTGCGTGTGTGATTGAGTTTGGAGGGTCTTGGGATCAGTTCTTGCCATTGGCGGAGTTTGCTTATAACAACAGCTATCAGTCCAGCATTCAGATGGCACCGTATGGGGCTTTGTATGGTAGGCGGTGTAGATCCCCGGTGGGTTGGTTTGAGTCGCGTGAGGCTAGACTATTGGGCACAGACTTAGTTTAGGATGCTTTGGAAAAGGTTGAGGTGATTCAGGATAGGCTCCGTACAGCCTAGTCCAGACAGAAGAGTTACGCGGACCGGAAGGTTCGTGATGTTTCCTATATGGTTGGAGAACGGGTTCTTCTTCGAGTTTTGCCTATGAAGGGCGTTATGAGATTCGGGAAGAAAGGGAAGTTGAGTCTGAGGTTTATTGGCCCTTGTGAGATATTGAGGCGTGTTGGGGAGGTTGCTTATGAACTTGCCTTACCTCGTAGCTTGGCAGGAGTTCACCCGGTACTTCATGTTTCGATGCTCTAGAGGTATCACGGTGACCCGTCACACGTGTTAGATTTCAGTTCAGTCCAGTTAGACAAGGATCTATCTTATATTGAGGAGCCAGTGGCAATATTGGACAGGCAGGTTAGAAAGCTGAGGTCAGAGAATATTGCATTAGTGAAGGTTCAATGGCAGGGTTAGCCGATCGAGGAGGCGACCTGGGAGATCGAGCAGGATATGCGCAGTCGTTACCCTCATCTTTTCACTACTTCAGGTATGTCTCTATGCTCGTTCGAGGATGAACGAATGTTTAAGTGTAAGAGGATGTGATGACCCGGCCGGTCGTCTTAAGAATTTATGCCTCGATGCCCTATTAACTACTTTCCCCAAGTTTATTTCTGCTATTTCGATTTGCCGAAATGTTCGGTTTTGAGTTTTGGGACACTTAGTCCCTAAATGAGAGCTTAAGTGTTGGAAAGTTGCCCGTAGTCGAAACAGAGTGAAGATGGCCTCGGAATGGAAATCTGATGGTTTCGTTAACTCTGTTGGGTGATTTTGGGGTTAGGAGCGTGTTGGAATTGTGTTTTGGAGGTCCGTAGCTAATTTAGGCTTGAAATGCCAAAAGTTGAATTTTGGAAGTTTTCGGTTCGATAGTGAGATTTTGATTCGAGGGTCGGAATGAAATTTTGAGAGTTGCAGTAGTTCCGTTATGTCATTTGGGATGTGTGTGCAAAATTTCAGGTCATTCGGACGTGTTTTGGTTGGGTTTTTGATCGAAAGCAGAATTCAGAAGATTTTAGAAACTTAGGCTTGAATCCGATGTGTTTTGGTTGTTTTGATGTTGTTTGAAGTATTTTGAAGATTTGTACAAGCTTGAATAAGGTTTTAGGATATGTTGATGCCTTTGGTTGAGGTCCCGGGGGCCTCCGGATGAATTCGGATGGTTAACGGAGGAAATTTTGGAGTTGAAGTTGCTGCAACAGCTGTTCTTCTGGTATTTTTGCATCTGCGGTTTGGGGACCGCAGATGTGGAGCTGCAGAAGCGGCAAAGAGGACCGTAGAAGCGAAATTTGGGACTTCCCTTAGGAACCGCAGATGCGGTGAGATGTCCGCAGAAGCGAAACCGCTCCTGCAGTTAGAGTTCTGCAGATGCGAAAGCTGGATCCTTAAGTGAAAGTCATAGATGCGACACTTGTTCCGCAGAAGCGGGACCGCAGATGTCGTCCCAGAAACGCAAATGCGGAAAATCGCTGGGCAGAACATATAAATAGTTGCCTTCGCGAATTTGAGGGATCCTTTCACCATTTTCATCCGGGTTTGAAGCTTTTAAGAGAGATTTTTTAGGAAAACAAAGGGGAATCACTTGGAGGTAACATCTTTGACTTCATAACTCATTTTTATGTGATTAAAGACCTAATTAGTGGTGAGAAATTTGGGAAAAATGGGTAATTAAGGCTTGAGTTTAAGAGGCCTTAAATTGAAAATTTGAGGGGCCATTTGGACTCCGATTTCAGTGTTCTTATTATGTATAGACTCGTGAGAGTACGAGATTTCTGAAAATTTAAATTTCACTCGATTCCGAGACGTGGGCCTGAGGGGCATTTTGGTTATTTTATATAATTTTGCGTATTAGCTTAGAATTTAATTGTAAAATCAGTTACTTGAAGTGTTATTTACATTATGCGATTGAATTGAATAGATTTGGGCCCTTTAGAGTCGAGTACTCGTGGCAAAGACGTGGTGTTGGGTTGATTTTGAGTCGGTTCGAGGTAAGTGGCTTTCTAACCTTGTGTGGGGGACCTTCCCCTTAGGATTGGTATATTGGTAATTGAAATGCCTTGTACGTGAGGTGACGAGTGCATACTTGTGCTAATTGTTGAAATCTAGTTTTCTTTAAGTACTTGTTAGTATGTTTCCTTTCTTGTTTCTATTACTTGCACTATTAAGCCTGTTGTTAGCTTAGGAAAGAATGTCTAAGTGACTTTGGGACTACGGGTTATATTCCCGGTAGATCCCCTGCACAGTTATATGGAACTATGGGAATGCACCCGGTAAATTTCCCCAGTACTGGTTATTTACATTTGGGACTACGGAACGGGATTCCGGTAGATCCCCGCGCACTATGAGTTGGACTACGGGACGGGATCCCGGGAGATCCTTCAGACATATATGATGGACTATGGGACGGTATCCCAGGAAATTCACTAGATATGTAAAGATGGGACTACAGGACAGTATCCTGGGACATCCCTGATTGTTACTATTGGTGCTGAGCGAAAAGTTATGTGCATTTTACTAGACAGTGCGCAATAGGCCTACTCGATTCTTCGTTTTATTGCTCTATCATCTGTTGATCCACGAATACGATCCCGACTTAATTCCTTGGCTTTTACTCAGAATT